TAATTTTACTGATATAACGATTTAAAATCTTATTTTGGATTATGTCATTGAAAGTAACGATTTTTCATTTTAAGTAAACTTTTTATTGTGATATCAACTTTATATTTATCGTAATAATTAGATTTAATTAAAAAAGATTGTTAAAATTATTCGGATCCTTTACACATAACTATTTGTAAAGAGACAATAATTTGTAAATTAACAATAATTAGAAACTGCTTATATCTATTATTTTTTTATACATCGTTTAAAAAATTTACTGAATGAAAATATCTAATATCAATTTACTTGTATTGCACACAATATCATTTTGTATTACATTATACTTTGAACATGCTTTATACAAGTGTTACTAGCTTAAATATTTAATATAAAATTATATTACTTATGTTAAAACATAGACAGTAAGAGTAATATAAAATAAGTAAAACATCAACATCCATTATTTCTAAAATTTATCTAATTTATATAAATAAAAACAATAAAAAAGAAATGTATGTTACATTAAGAGTACCAGAATTATTGTGTGTTATAATAACATTTTAAGTGTTAAGAAATTTTTACTTTATCTCTTTTTAATAAAAAGTAATTATACATATTTAAAATAATAGCTTTTATAAAATTTTTTATTTTTTACACATTTAATTGAGGAAAAGGTGAATTTAATACATACATGTTTAAAAAGAAAGCTCGTGTTATAATTTAAAGAATCTTTCAAGTATATAATTATACGTTTAAAAAGAATGTATTAAATATGTGTATTATTCCTGTCCCTTAATTTTATGTCTGTTCGTAAACATTGTGTTAATAGAAGCCTACAATTTTCTCACTCGCAATTTCAACCAAAAACCTCCATCCGCCATCATAAGAAGTGTTTGCTTCTTTAACACCATAGGAATTCGAGTTTTAATGTCGGGTTCGAGATTGCACCGCCAAAGTAGATAGAACAGCAAGACTTTTGCTTGTATTATGGCAAACCTATTACCTATGCAGGTTCTAGGTCCGATTCCAAATGGCATATAGACTAAGTTATTTACATATCCGTTAAGGAATCTGTCTGGATCGAATTTATCTGGATGCGGATAGTACTTCGGATCGCGATGCAGAGAATAATTCGGAAACCATACACTATCACCTGGTTTTACCGTGATCGGTTCACCATCCGGAGTCGCTGGTGGTAATTTAGTTTCCTTAACACATTTTCTGTCAAGAAAAGGTCCTATTGGATACA